ATGGCAATTTTGGGTTCATCGTCCCTCCCGCCCTCCCTTCTTCCCTTCCTCCCTCCCTTCCTCCTTCGCCCTGCACACCTCGGTAGCAGAAAGGGAAAGCACGATCTCCGCGGCCATTGTCCTTACGTCCAACACTTGGTGTTTGAGGAAAGTGTCGAGCTCTTCCAAGGACTCAAGCCCTTCTGGGAGGATCAAAGGCATGTTTTTTCCAGCAGCCCCGCTGGTTTTCAAGGAAGGGGGGTGGGGAGGTAAGCTGCTGTCGTAAGTAGATCCCCCTAACAAATAGATTAGAGATGCGAGTCCAACATTCTGGACAAGAAAAGCATCGCACAGAAGTCACACAGTTGCGGTGAGTTTTCACGTGCGCGGGTCGTTTGTCATACGGCTGAAGCGGCATCAATTGATTGACAGCGGATGGGGCGCGCGGTCTAGTCACTTTGTTCCACTTGACGTTGGTCGGGGCCGCGAAATTCGACCACTATTTTTCGTCGCGACCGGCGTGAATGTGTCAGATTTTCACCGTGGTACCCCCGATAGATAGGATCGTGTATTTTAGCAGGCCAGAGGTGGAATGAGGGATGGGGTTTGTGTTTTTTTATCATTACATTTCCCTCCCTCAGCTACCTCGTAGGAGCCTCAAGATGTGGTAGACTAACGAGGGGAAAGGAACTTGGGGGGGAAAAAAAGAGTTTCAGGGGAAGGGAAGAACGCCCTGCTGGCAACCATGACACTCACGCATCACACGTGCCTGTGCTGGGCTTGGCGCAAATCTGGTGGGCGGCTTCGAAAAAAATTGGCAGACGTGGACATTTTGTGGGCAACGACTCGTCTTATGTTCCTGGTCAAGAGATTCCACATGGCATTGACCCCTCCCACCTCGAAAAGTGCATCGCACAGACAGAAAACTGGCATGACATTGCATGTACCCTTGCCTTTGTGGTCGATTGACTCATGTAGCCAGACATAATGCGGCCGCGCTTTGGGCATGTGCCATCGTAGCTTCGTTTTCCATCGCCATTCGTGTCCATCCTGTTCGTAGCGGGGTCGACGTTGGCATGAAGGAGCTCCGCATCGAATGTTGGCGTGGGCTATTGCTGGCGGACGTTCGCTCCTCCCTGTTTCCTTTATCTGGGAAGCCCTCAGACGTGACGACAGTCTACGACCGCTCTTCCTCCTTCCCTCCTCCTCTCAGATCTTCCCCCACCAACCTTCCATACCATTCGGAGGGAAGGGAAGGGGAGGACCCAAAAACTAGACTCATACAAGACAACACATCCACACCAGGCGTGGCTCCTGCTCGACAATGCCGTCACCCGGACCTTTCCTCCTCCTCCTCCTCCTCCTCCTCCTCGCGATGCTCTTCCCGTCGGTGACGCCCACGTCGGATGCCTCCACCATGACCCTCCTCCGAGACTCGACCAGCGAGTTTTTCCACTGCCCTGGTAGGTTCTTTTATCCATACTTCTCTAGTTTTTGGGTCGCGTGTCGCAAGGGGAGGTTGAAGCTATCCCGTCGTCTCTGTACAATGGCGTTTCTCGTCCCGTGTGGGATTGTTCGAGGAAGATGTTTCTCGTCCCGCGAGACGCATTTGTGTTTCCATTCATTTTTGAAAGAGCTCTCTCCTCCTCCGTGCTGTGATTTGACCCGGA